GCGGCTGGTAGTGTTGCTGCAAGGAGGTCCTCCATCGTGCATGTGGCAGGGCTCAAGATGAGTCCACAACAAGATGAGTCCACAGCAGACACTCTGCTGGCTGTGGTGTTGGATCACATGTGGGACCCTTCCCTAGTGTCTAGGACGTTGTGATGTATTATTGTTGTTGTTGTCACCGGGAGCTGGAGTCCCAAACGCCGCGGGGAGGGGCTCCACACATAACACTCTGTTGCAGGGAGCAGAGCCCGGGATCCAGGCACCCCGTCGGGCAGCTTGGAAGCGCTTGGGCGGAAGGGGGCGGGGCCTGGGCTGGCCGGCTGGGACCACGTGAGCACGGAGGCCCCGCCCCCTCTCCCTTCCCCTCGCGCAGGCGCACCTCCCACGTGCGCCTCTGCTTCGGCCGCTCTCTCCTTCTCCGGGTCTCACCATCGGGCCAATCCGCGCGGCCAGCGCCGCCCAGGGAGGGAAGGCCAGCGCGTTCAAACCGCGGAGGGTTGGCTTGATGGTGAGACCCGGAGAAGGAGAGAGCGGCCGAAGCAGACGGTGTCCGCAATGGGCGGAGCGGCGCCAGGTGGGCGTGGCCAGGCCAGGCCGCGCAGGCCGGAGAAAGGCCCTTGGCGGGCTGCATACGGCCCACGGGCCGTAGTTTGGGGACCCCTGGTATAGTGGGTCTGGGTGGTAGGCTATGAAAGTTAAAAGGTTTGGCCACTGCAAGGCTGAAAAACTGAGATAGTGGAAACGGTCAGGATAAGAAGCAGAAGATCGCTGAAATGAGAACACTCGAAGCCTGAATCCTAACTGAATGAAACCGGACACAATACTACGGTGGGATGTCATTTGTGAAATAGTCGGTATTGTAAGACCACTTAATCCATGAGGATACATTACCTGAAACCCTGGAAACGGTCAATCACTAAATGCTGGTCCTGGCAAACCACAGAGTCACTTTGAATGAGCTAGCAGATTCTTAAAGGCACAATTCCTCCTTGGACATGGATAAGTGAAACCACAGGCATGGGTTCCATAGTAACCGGAGTCTGCCTTTGAGAAATGTTAGTTCCTCCTTCATTTATGACCTGCTTTTCTTTACAGTTAGGTTTGTGAAGAACCATGTGGCATTTGAAGTTGGAATATACCAGTAAAACCAGCCTTTAGTTTCCCAAAGCACCTGCCTCCCCCTCAGGAGAACTAGCAGAGACTTAAGAGTGGGATGAGACAACAAAGGAGCTTTCATCTGGCCACCTCTTTGTTGCACAGAGTATCTACTGTTTCTCTCTTGACTGGCTGTTTACTTATTTAATATTTTGCTTTCCTCCCTAGGTAATTCACAGCTAGGTTTCCTAATATAGAAAAACAAACTAAAACCTGGATAACGATTAAAAAATTGAAATATAGTTAAAGAAGCTATCATAGTAAAATGCTGATGTTATGTGAGGAAATAAATAAAATATAGCTATGGGTTTGCAGTGCTGCAGTATAAAGATAAAGACAGTGAAGCAATGGTTGATATTATTATTGTTCTTATTTCCTACTTTCCCCCCAGTTTGAGACTCACTGTGGTTTACAACCGTTAAAACAATATAATTAAGAAAAAGACTAGCATTCAAAGGATTAAAAAGTAATGTGTCCAGTTCAGGAAACCACAATTCAAGAAGAACATGGACAGGTTAAAGAGTGTCCAGAGAAGAGAAACCAAAGTTTTGAAAACCATGAATCTTTGTGATTTGAGCAGTTGAGAGTGCTGGGGGTCTTTAGCTTGAAAGAAGGTTAAGTGGAGACCAGATAATTTGAAAGAATGTCATACTGATGAGGCGACAAACTTGTTTTCTGCTGCTTCAGAGACTCGGACACAATGGAGCAGTGGATTCAAATAGCAGGAAAGGGGATTCCATCTCAATATTAGGAAGACCTTCCTGACACACCTGTTTTAAAAGGGGGATAGGCTGCCTCAGTGTTTGGGAGTCTCTCCTTCTCTTGAGGTTTTTCAACAGAAACTGGGTGGCCATCTGTCTGGAGGGCTTAAAATGCATTTTCCTGCATGGCAGGTTTGGACAGAATGGCTCTTGTGGTGTATTCTAACTGTGATTTTAGTTAAGGCTTCATAAAATTTGAAACCGGTTATAACAGATTAAAGCAGTGTACACTGATTTTACAGAGGACACAGGCTGTACACATTCTCAAAAGCCTACTAGAGTTTCACCTGACTACAGAAAGACAATGAGATTTTAATGTATTGTCGAAGGCTTTCATGGCCGGAATCGCTAGGTTGTTGTAGGTTTTTTCGGGCTATATGGTCATGTTCTAGAGGCATTCTCTCCTGACGTTTTGCCTGCATCTATGGCAAGCATCCTCAGAGGTAGTGAGGTCTGTTGGAACTAGGAAAAAGGGTTTATATATCTGTGGAATGACCAGGGTGGGACAAAGGATTCTTGCCTGTTGGAGCTAGATGTGAATGTTTCAACTACTTATTTATCGTGTCAGGGGCAACCAGACCATTGTATTACATTTCTAACAGAACAAAACAAACAAACAGATTAAAAAAAAGCCAAAAAACACAAAGTTTGCAAACTTGGTAGTTGATTAAATGTCCTTTGACCAGTATCTGGCCACTTGGAGTGCCTCTGGTGTTGCCGCAAGGAGGTCCTCCATGGTGCATGTAGCAGGGCTCAGGTTGCATTGCAGCAGGTGGTCAGTGGTTTGCTCTTCTCCACACTTGCATGTTGTGGATTCCACTTTGTGGCCCCATTTCCAAAGGTTGGCTCTGCATCTCGTGGTGCCAGAGCGCAGTCTGTTCAGCACCTTCCAAGTGTGCCCAGAGGGGAGTCTCTCATTTGGTATCAGCCATTGGTTGAGGTTCTGGGTTTGAGCCTGCCACTTTTGGACTCTCGCTTGCTGAGGTGTTCCAACTGACCACCTTGAATAGCATTTGATGGCCTGGCAGTGCCTGGGGCAATCTTTTGTTGAGAGGTGATTAGATGTCCTTGTTTGTTTCCTCTATGTTGTTTTGCTGTTGTAATTTTAAGAGTTTTTTAATGGTAGCCAGATTTTGTTCATTTTCATGGTTTCCTCCTTTCTGTTGAAATTGTCCACATGCTTGTGGATTTCAATGGCTTCTCTGTGTAGCCTGACATGTGGTTGTAAGAGTGGTCCAGCATTTCTGTGTTCTCAAATAATATGATGTGTCCAGGCTGGTTCCTCAGGTGCTCTGCTATGGCTGACTTCTCTGGTTGAAGTAGTCTGCAGTGCCTTTCATGTTCCTTGAGATGAGATTTTGAGACATGGGAAGTAGGCCTGGGTAACAACGGAAAAATTAGTTTCTAAAATCGATTAGTTTTTTGGAGTTTTTTGCGTTTCGATATTTAAAAGAATTCCGAAATTTTCCTTTAAAAAAGTTCGATATTTACGAAATTTCATAAATGGTAAAAAAATTACAAAACAATAACGAATCGATTCGTTAATGGCGGCCGCGATCGCGCAATACGCTAAAAAAACTTCTGAAGCTTCCCTCTCCCTCTGTTGTTGACTGTTGGTGTGATATTATAATTTTTTTTCACTAATTAAACAAAAAACAACTATAAAACTTGCCCCAGACATGCGGAAATAATAACGAAACGACCTCAAACCAATAACGAAACGAATACATAACGGAATACGAAGCATTTACGAAACGAATTGAAGAATTCGTTTCGTTTTGAAGTTGCTCCAGAATGGTTCGTTATCGCTTCGTTAACAACAACAAAAATAACGAATTTTTAACAAATTACGAATTAACGAAACGAAACTGCCCAGCCCTAATGGGAAGAGTTGAGGATATACTTTCCATCTGTTAGAAGAATCTGTAGTACCTATATTCCTGATTTGGTGGTTTGCTTCTGTGGTGATCTGCTGAAATGCTGTCTCCGGTCCTCCATTCATGTCCATGAGCGTTCTGAGGTCTTGCAGATGGCTTATGGGCTGTCTCTGTGGCAGCTAGCAGTTCCCATGTCAATGCGGCAGTGAATTCAGGTTTTAATGGAGACTTTCAAGGAACTTTTCAATGTACTGTGGCCTTTCCTCCAGTATAGATGCAGAACCTTGAATAATGTCCAACTCCGCCTCTAATGGAAGGCATTCACTTTGCCTCTAATACAGGTGAAGTGGGTTCTCCTGAATGGGAGTTACTGTCACTCAGTTTTGCAGGCCAAATGAGTCTGTTCTGTACCATCTTCAGTATACTTTTGCAGACATATGGGAGTCAGTGAATGTCACAACAACTCAGCAAGCTTGATGAGTTTGGCCCAAATGTCCATTACACCTCTGTGTGTCCCTAAAAACATGCCGTCTTTTTGGTCTTTCTGTCTGGTTTCAACAGGCTCTCTATGCTTTGTTTGTTTACGCATACTTCCAAGTTGTCTGTTGGCTTTGATCCCATGACTTTGACTGGATTTTCTTAGGCAAGGAAGATTCAGAGGTGGTTTTGCCAGTTCCTGCTTTTGAAACACAGCTTGTCCCGAACTGTATACAGTATTGTTTGGTATCTGCTAACCATTTATATCATAAGCAGAATGTCCTGTTCTAAGATCGTTCCCAGTCTCCTGTGGGTGGCTCTCTTGTCACATGCTTATACATGTTACATTTAGAAATAAGTACTATGTTTAGTTGGACTTTCTCCCAAGAAAGTGTGTTTAAGTATAGCCTGGTTTATGAAAGTCACTTTTCTTTTACTTAACCTGGGTGAAAAAGGAAAAGAGAGCTTAAATTTGACAGCACACTCTGGAACAACATGGTTGGGTTTGGGCCATGATTGGTCACATATTGAGGAGAACTATAGACTGAATGGTTTTCCTCTTCTCACTTTCCCACCCTCCATCTTTTTTGTATTCTTGTCCAGGAATGCAGTAGAAAGATGCCTTAAAAATATGATTTTAAAGTGTAAAGTGCCAGAATGGGGAATCAGAGTGGCTCTTTTTGGTTGCCCCTTCTAGAAGACCTCTGACGTTCTGATTTCCGTTTTCTCCCAGTGTACCAATGGCCACTTGATGTGTGCTGGGTGCTTCATCCACCTCCTGGCAGATGCCCGGCTGAAAGAGGAACAGGCCACGTGCCCCAATTGTCGGTGTGAGATCAGCAAGAGCCTCTGCTGCCGAAATCTGGCCGTCGAAAAGGCAGTAAGCGAGCTGCCCTCCGAATGCGGCTTCTGCCTGCGCCAGTTTCCTCGCTCTCTTCTGGAGAGACATCAGAAAGAAGAATGCCAGGACAGGTAGGCTGCCACGCTTGCTACCTTTGCATCCAAGACTGTGCGTCGAAAGTGTATTGTACGATGCACAGTTTGGGAAGGACGAATCATGGTGCCTGGTTATCAAAACACTTGGGCTTTCAGTTCTGCTTTCTGGGAAGGTTTGCAGAGTGTGAAAGGGTGGGCTGTGTATTAAATAATGTTTTGCATTGATAAACAAAGTCTTATTTCTGAAGGAACAAGGTCACATTAAAAGCAAGGATTTGAAGCATCTTCCTTCTGAAGAACACCTTAGATTAAAGACTTTCCTGGTTGGTTATTCTTTTCAGAACTGCACAGAAGGGGATATAAGTCACTTATGAGGTGTGCAGATGTGATAGAAATCTGTCTCGTACCAGATCACAGAAATCATCTGGTTAAATTGATCAACAGCAAGGATGTCTTATGTAGTATATCATTACACTTTTGTTAACTAAAATCTCATATATGTCTCATTTGTTACAACCAGTCAATAGTGTTCATCTACAATTGCGGTAAAAGGATATCCATTTGGTTCCCTGGAGGTACTTCCTGTTGCCACTGGACTGAACGTGGTCTCTCTCTGATACAGCCTGAGTGATGCCTTGTTGTTTGGGAAATTCTTCCTATATTTGCACACATAGTGTGGATGGTATGGATAGTGTGTGATAAAGCCCGACTGCTTATTGGAGGGAAGGATACTAGAGACAAAGTTGAAGTACTTTGGCCACATCATGAGGAGACAGGAAAGCCTAAAGAAGACAAGTATTCTGGGGAAAGTGGAAGGTAAAAGGAAGAGGGGCCGACCAAGGGCAAGATGGATGGATGGCATCCTTGAAGGGACTGGACTGACCTTGAAGGAGCTGGGGGTGGTGACGGCCGACAGGGAGCTCTGGCGTGGGCTGGTCCATGAGGTCACGAAGAGTCGGAAACGACTGAACGAATGAACAACAAAGTGTGGATGGTGCTGAGTAACTGGCTTTTAGACTCCTGCAGCAGTCTGTTTTGTTATTACGGTTCTGGTCCAGCTTACTTGTCGGAACGCATCTGCCTCTACGTCCCACCTCGTAACTTAAGATCATCTGGGGAGGCCCTTCTCTCACTTCCATTAACATCACAAATGCGGCTGGTGGGGATGAGAGACAGGGCCTTCTCAGTGGTGGCCCCCCGCCTGTGGAACGAGCTTCTGAGCGAGATACGATCAATCCCATCCCTCCTGGCTTTCAGGAAGAAAGTAATATCGTGGCTATGGGACCAGGCTTTCTGTCAGTAGACATAAATTAGCACTTAGTGGAAATGGATTGGAAAGGCGATTTACATGAGAATACGATTCTATTTGGTAATAAATGTTTTATATTGTTTAATTAATGGCTTACGTATTTTATGTATTTTATATATTTTAACAGTTTGGTGGTTTGTTTAATGGTTATTGTATTAATTGTTCATGTGATGGCATCGAATTGCTGCCTATGTAAGCTGCCCTGAGTCCCCCTTTTGGGGTAGAGAAGAGAAGGGATATAAATACCAGAAATAAATAATAAATATGTGAAGTTCCAGCATTAAATAGTATTGGAGCTGAAAAGACATAGAGGGTTTCTTACTGTTTACCAGGGTATATTGCCTAAATTGAATTTACAGGATGATTTGTATGTCCAACAGCTTCTTAAGGAAGTTCTGCTGCTGTTTAATTTGGTAGTAAAAAGGGTTTGATGGACCAGGGCCTCAACTCAACCTGACTCCTTGTGGTCTAGATTTCTTGTTGGCAAAAACCTTGCTGGACTTTGTGGTGTTGCAGCATCCTTCATCTCGTGGCCTTTCAGGCCGCTACTTATTTGAGCTTTGTCTTCCTCTTATACTGCAGGGTCACTCGGTGCAAGTACAAGCGGATTGGGTGCCCGTGGCAGGGGCCTTTCCATGAGCTCACCGTCCACGAGGCGGAATGCACACACCCCACCAAGACTGGGAATGAGCTGATGGAGATCCTAGACGAAATGGACCAAACGCATAAGAAGGAGATGCAGCTCTACAACAGCATCTTTGGCCTGCTCAGCTTTGAGAAAATCGGCTATACAGGTAATTGCTGGATTTTGCCAAGGCTGCAGAGAAAAACAGCCTTAGTTCCCTTTTTTCAAAAGAAAGAAAGAAAATGCTTTGTCTTTTTCCTTTACCCAATGTTGTCAATTGTCTACTGATTGAACGTTCCTCTAGGCCAGAAGAACGGGTCTTTGCTGAGCAGGCAGGGCCACTGGACCAAATGTCTGCTCCAGCAAACCACTCTGTTGGATTCCTTTGTGTCTGCTTGAGAGCTCCAGATGAGGGTCCCTCCTGGGTCAGGCAGGGATGGTGGTGGTGAGTGTCTCAGAGGTCATGTATGAGGTGAGGAAGTCAAGTGGCAGGTCATTGTGAGGCCTGTGCACTGGATTTGTCTCTCAGATTGCTTGTTCAGAGGCTGGCAGCCTGGTTCTTCGGGAGGCCCTTGCTGATTGGTAGTATTGATCCCACCCAGAAGAAGGACAACTTTGCAACTGAAGGTAAGGTGCTGGTGTTGCCTTTGGACCCAAACTGTGGATTAAAACTAGTGCTGTCTCTATCAGTGGGTAGGTGGGTGGGTGTGAGCACACCTTGTATGATCTGACTATTGAATGATGTTTGGTTTGGGAATCTGGTTTATGAATAACATGCACTTTGGGGTCTTTCCTTGTGGAATGAAGTATTAAGAAACTCCTGCCTTTGGTCCAGAATCTTGTTTCGTGAGCTAGTTGTTTTGCGTGGTGGTTTTATGCCTGCTTATGCTTTCTTGAGGGTTCTTTTCGGAAGGAGACATTTCTACTGCATTTTCTGATTTTCTTGATTTAGAGCATAAACCTACCGTGTGAGTTTGTGTCTCGTGTGTGCGTGTGTGTGTGTGTGTGTGTGTGTGTGTGTAGAACTGTAATGATAAATATTCAGGAACAAGGAAGAAGCAAACTGGCTTCTAACCTGGTGGAGGTGAATTATGTTTGCAGGTAAGTTTGTGTCTCTAATGGTATCCTGAAGCAGGATTGAAAATGTATTTTGAAAAAACAGTGTTTAATGACTGTGGGGTTTCTTGAGGGAGGGAGCGAGAGAGGGGAAATGATGTAGAAGCTCCCTTTTCTTTTGCTGAAAATGTTCCTTCTTTCCTACGCAGAGGATCCACATGGATGTAGCCTTCTGTCTCCACTCCTAAGGGAGCAGGTGCTGCATGCAGCCTGAAGGGATGCTTTGTGCGTCTCTCTCTCTTTTCGCTGAATTGAGAGGAAGTGCTTTAGTGTTTGCAAAGCAGCATGGAGCCCTGGGGAGCTCCAGCTATGAGATAAGGCGACAAGTTACCTCTGCTGTTGGGAGATATTCATGGCTCCCAGTGGAATCAGGTCGGCAGGCAATTCAAGCTGATGGTGTCAAAGCTGAATGTGAAAAGAAAACGAAGAGCCAGGCAGGGAGGGGAGTGGGCTGTCAACCTCCATAGGTGGGGGGTGGAAGCAACTGTCACTCACCTGGTGTATTTGAGCTCTGCCTTTTGTGAGAGAAGCCAGGTGGGCACTCTGATCTGCCTTAGCAAGGAGACGGCTGCTAGTCGGAGAGTCAGGGGCACTTGATACTTGGAGAGGACAAAAAGGAAAGGGCTGAGTCGGGCTGGTTGTGTGGCTTGAATAACTCCATCGCCTCCTTTGTCCAGGTATCGCTGCTGCGCTCTCCTAACAGTCCTCTGGAAACACGGAAGGATGCAAAAAAGTCCACAGAGGTTCCCTGCCCCTGAGTTTGTCCCGGGAGAGTCCCAAGGGTTTTGTGTGCCAAAGACTTTAAAAAACACTTGAGCCAACCAATATTGATAAACTTGAACAAAACAAAACACCTCACTGCACTATGGACTCCACCAGAAAGAATGTTTTGAACAGACTGACAGCGAACTGTGCTAAACCGTATGGGCCTAGGATTGACTAGAGCCTTGAATGAGGCAGTGTGCTGATCATTGCCTCTTGTGTATCTCTTTCTGGAATTTTCTGCACTGTGAAACACCAGCAGGCCTTTACTCCTCCGTCCCAGCACACCCCATCCCTTGTTTCTTGGTTTACACTGTGGTGTTGATACAGCTGAAGACTTTTGTATTGTTGATTTGAATAAAATAAAGGTGCTATGTTACAAGAATTGCCTTCTCTGACTTGGTTTTTAATGCATCCATGATGTTGGTTTGGGCAACATTATGCATTTATGAATCTGTGAATCTATGCTTCTACTTGTTACGAACCTGGAGCCACCTGCCTTGTTCCTGCTGTGCTGAATGAGCATGAAGGGTCTCCGTCATTGCCTCTGAGTCTCCCAGGAAATCTTAAGCAGGTACTGGAAGAGGCCTCCAACTTGATGCTCCTGAAGGTCTGGCCTTGTATCTAAAGTCTGAATATGAGAGCTGTGAGGCCATTGTGCACTGCAAAACCACTCTGGGTGGTTTAGTAAGGAAGCAATGCAACAAAAGGTTCTGAAATGCGAAGATGGAAGACACAGCGATGAGGGGAAAATGCCACCTTTGGATGAATAAACATGGAGTTTGAGGCGTACCACTTTACTGAATGCCGATCCTAGGATTGGTCACTTTTTGTGTTCTGCTGCAGTGTTCTTCCATGAGAGAGGAACTGAGGAGGGGGTGTTTGCATTGGTAGGGGTTTCATTGACTGTATTTGAGCTTCACCACTGCTTCTTTCTCTCTACCTCTGTCTCTCTTTCCTTCCTTCCCTCAAAGATGAAACTGAAGTGGTTTTAAAAGTTCTGTAATGCATTGATGTTTTTATCTCCTTCTCTCCCCCTTCCCTCCAAGAAGCCAAGTGGCTTCTTTCCCTAACTAGCTCTGAATGGCTACTCTCACCCTGGCCTCCATACATCATGGCAGAGAAGGCCCCACACAGTAGCTTCCAGGTAACGTGAGCTTTGTTTCTTCCTGCTGCCGGCTTCCGTGAAGGTCTAACTGTTGCTTGTCTCTCCTCCCCTTCTCCTCCCCCTCTCCCCACTTCCTTCTTCATGCTCTCTTGCAGAGGTCCAGTTCCGTCCGTACCGCACCGACGACTTCATCACCCGCCTCTACTACGAGACGCCGCGGTTCACGGTGCTGAACCAGACCTGGGTCTTGAAGGCTCGGGTGAACGACTCGGAGCGCAACCCCAACCTCTCGTGCAAACGGACCCTCTCTTTCCAGCTTATTCTCAAGAGCAAGATCAACTCCCCCATGGAGTGTTCGTTCCTGCTGCTCAAGGGACCCTACGACGACGTAAAAATCAACCCCGTGATCTATCACTTTGTGTTCACCAACGAAAACAACGAGACTGACTATGTGCCCCTCCCCATCATAGACTCTGTGGAATGTAACAAATTGCTGGCAGCCAAGAACATCAACCTGCGTCTCTTTATATTCCAGATACAGAAGTAAAGTGTAAGCTAAAAGCTTGGGCTTTTCCAGGTGTGACAGAGTGAGCGTGAGAGAAAGAGAGAGAGAGAGAGAGAGAGAGAAAGAATGCACCACTGAACCAGAGTTACCTCGTATGGCTGCCTCGGCCCCTTTATGATCCCACAATTATTTGGTTATTTTAAACGAATCTTTTGCATGTGTGGAATACGGCAAGCTTTTGAACGTGGCTGCTGCCTTCCTCGTCTCTCTCCATCTCTGCTAAGAACAGGTGGCTGGCTGGGGAGCTGGGCGCATGCCGGCTACGGGCCAGGCCTGAGAGAGAGCCAGGAGGGGCCGGCCGGCAACCCCCACCTGTCAATACATTGTGAAAAGGCTGCCTTTGTGTCATGGTTGTTTGTGATCTCCGCAAGATATCAGTGTCCAAAGTGGTGGTGGGTCAGGGTCTATGCTGCCCTCCAGAACCTGGAAGTGGTGGGTTCTGTTTTATGTTACTGGAATAAAAATCAATGTGGGGGTGTAGGGGTGGGAGGGGACCCCAAGAAGACACCTTCAGGGACCCCAGTCAAGGGGACTTTTGCTTTCTTTTCCTTCTTTTGTGTGGCCAGGCTGCTTCAAGCTGAGCTGAAGGACCACATTGCAAGGAAGAGCAAGGAGATCATCACACTACACTCTTAACACACCATTACTCCACTTTGTAGATTATCGCACTACATGGTTAAAGAGTTGGTATCCCACTTCACACCCAATTGCTGCCTCCTTTTGAATCCTGGGAGTTTCAGTTTAGGGAGAGACCTTCAAAATTCTCATCCAGAGAGGTCCTGGACCTCACTGAACTACAAACCTCAGAAGTCTTCAGGAGGCAGCCACAGGATTTAAAGTGGGATGCCAACTCTTTAAAGCATAATGCAGTGGTTCCTAACCTTTGGGCCTCCAGATGTTTTGGACTTCAGCTCCCACCGTTCCTAATTCCTAATAAGCTAACTGGGATTTCTGGAAGTTGAAGTCCAAAACAATTGGAAGCCCAAAGGTTGAGAAACACTGATGTAATGTGATAATAACTGCTGTGGCCGCCTCCTGTGGAATTATGTTTTTCATTTTCTGGCTGAAAGTTTTAACTCCCCCCCCCCCCCCGGGATTCCACAGAAGGCAGCCTTAGCAATTCAAGTGGCATAACAGTGCTTTAGGAGTGTAGCGTGATAATCTTAAGTCTTGCCAAGGAAAATGCTTTGCAGTGCAAATAGAACTGCCTTGGCCTGCTTCTGTTTGTCTGTCAGTTGTCCAAACCACTTCCCTCCCTGGCTTTTCATAGTCAGGTGAATTAGCAACTGGCATAGAGCAATTGTATTGAGGGAGCCAGACTTAAAGGAAGGTTTGGGGTGTCAAACTGGGTCCTTTGAGTGTTGGTGGCCCTTGCGGCACTTTCAGTGTGGTCTGAATTGCACTTCGCAAGGAGAAATCACTCCAGATCTATCTCTCTATTGTCCCCAGTTGCTGCCCAGTTTGTATTCTTCTTTCTTGCCCCCCCCCCCCCAAGTGACCCCTGTCTCCCCAAGTTGGCTTGATCTGACAGACTAGTTAAAAACAAGTAGGACTGATCCAAATAAGTGAATGATTCTCGGAATGCAGGGTGATTTATTCTGTCTTGTTTTTGGGGAACTTTCCCAATCCCTTTTTTTTTTGTTTTATTTCCTTGTGCAAGTGAGTTTAACAGGCTCTTCTAAGTAATTATGCAATTTTACAATGTGATTTTATGTATGTAAAAAAGAAAAAAATAATAAATAGAGCAAGTTTATGGATGAGGATAGCGAAGGGGCCGTTCACCAAATGTTCAACAAGATCTACAGGGATATTTTGCGCAATGCTCTTAAAAGGTTATTTTAAAGAAGTGGGGGAGCTGGCGGGGTGGCAGAGACTTATTATGTATCATGAGGAACTCATACGTTAATAATACTGTGCATTCAAGGTTATTTTCTTCCCTCTCGTTAAGCCTCCCCGCCCCACCCCATGTTGGGCTTTTTTGTTTGTTTGTTTGAATGAGGCCTACGTTAGGTGGCAATTTACACTTTATATAAACTAATTGGATCAGGTATAATGTGGAAATCCATTGCAGGTGCTTTCTTTTCCGGGACCCGTGCTGTTAAGGGGTAACAAAACAATAGTATCCTCCAGCTTTCATGTTTCCCCCTCCTTCTCCTGTCAACCTCCTAATCCTAGAAGAGGCAGGCAACAAGCATTTAAAAGCCTATTTATTTAGAAAGGTGAGGAGTGAGTCTGGGGTCGTCTTCAGGGTCAACAGTCCTTTCACCATGCCATGCTAGGCCCATCTTTTGTGCATCATGTTACGTTCCCTGCCTCAGGAAGGGCACGGAAACCAGCAGAAAAAGAGGTCAGTTTGGCAGGTTACAAGATTCTCAAGCCTTTCGGCACGAGAGCAATGTCCTGGCATATATTCCTGGGCAGTTTCTGCTTTTGCAGAAGTCTTTGAGTCACTCTCCTTCAGCCGTTCCAGTTGGCTTGGTCTCAGAATGGGATGATATATCTCTGTGAGTGGGATGTGTGTCTATCTTGCAACAAGGAGCATGGGTTGTACCCTTCGAAAGAAAAATTTGGCCAAAATGCATGTTTCACTTCCAGTCAGTATTGGTTGCAGTTGACTGTTTAAGCAGTGGTTCTCAACTTGGGGTCCCCAGATGTTTTTGGCCTTCAACTCCCAGAAATCCTAACAGCTGGTAAACTGGCTGGGATTTCTGGGAGTTGTAGGCAAAAAACATCTGGGGACCCCCCCAGGTTGAGAACCACTGGTTTAAGGCATATTACCAGCCCAGGGTGGCCAAAAGCACAAGATGCTGCTCTCTTCATTATTCTTGCTCTGATATTTTTAATCTCAGTTACTCTGAATCAGGAGCTGGCTCTTGGTCTTTGAAGGGTAGGTAGGTCACCTGCTGTTTTCCTTTGATTGGCAGTTCCTAAGAGTTGGCTTTCTGCAAGATTGCCCTTAAAGTCACCCTTTCTGGAAGGTGGAACGGTTGCTTGAAATGGCATAGTGCACAGATAACCCTGGGTTCAATGAATGCTTACTTGAAACTACCTTTTATGCATTCAGTACTGAGCCATTTTTAAATGTTACTGAAACCATGACACGATCCTTGGGCCGAAAGCAAACAAGACCTGATGGAGGTCATGGGATGCTGTAACACAGGGGAACCATCCTTCTGAGATCTAAGGTTGGGGAGGGAGGGATCAGGGCAGCCTCCCTGAAATCCTTGCCAGTATTAGTCCCACACCTCCCCCTTAGATTGAAGCAGGGGGTCCTTCCCACACCCATTCATGTATTAGTAGGGATGCAGAAAGAATCACAAGTAAATTCCTCTTGACTAAAGAGCCACCAACTTGGCAATAGTTGCCCAAAAGTTTGAAAATCTGGAATAAAACATAAGTTTGGAGACTAATTGCCTTGCTTCAGAGCTATCTTTTCCATGGAGCGAAAATGACTAAACAAAAATGGAGAACTTCTGCAGCTGCTGTCTTCTTGGGAAGGCAATGATTGCAAAAGTTCTCCTTATTTGCTTCTTGGGAAGGCAATGGGAAAAGTTACTCTTGCAGTGTCGCTAGAAAAAACAGGAGTCCATCCCAGGGAAGCAAGTACTGCCTTTCCTGTGATATCTTCAATATGGGAGCCATATGTGGGTGTGTTTTCTTTCAGGAGGGAGTTAGATATGACAAAATACCTTTAGGGAGTACTTACTACAGGTCTGATGTTGCCCAGGAGTAGGCTTTGCCAAGTTAACAGAAGGGTTGTCCTTTGCCTGGCAAGTGCTGCTAACGTGCAAAACTCATGGCAAGGTGAACGGTTTATTCTCTTAAGAGAATCAGGGAATATTGAATCAGGGAGGGGGAAGAAAAGGTGACAAATGATCTTGTCTTACTGGCACAGTGCCTTTCTGAAGGAACTGGAGTATTAGGGGAGTAGGAATGGAAAGAGTTGCTCGCCTGGCACCTGTTCTTGGGGTACAGAGCACATTTGGAATCATGGCTTTGGGTTCCAGAAAGTGGCAACTGGAATATTTAAGGCAACTTCAGTTGGCATTTCTCTAAAGCTGAACAGCTAGGAACCCATCCCAAGGAGCTGTGTGGCCCTTCTTTCTCCTGGGCCATCTGCAATTAAGATATTTGCTTTCATAAAGCCACAGTCCTTGAAAACGGCCTTCTCTCAACCTTGGGCCCTTCAGATGCGTAAAGCTATAACATGGCATAGCCCTGAAGCTTGTACCAGGACAGCATTCTGGGAGTCATAGTTCGAAACTTTTGGAGGTCCCTAGGGTTTGAGGAGACGCTGCTCTTGATATGTACAGGTCAAAGTGGGCTAGTTTTGAACAGCTTGTTATCTTTTTAATTGATGTCCATGATCTGTACAAATGAACGGATACTTTCCAAATTCTTGGGAAATTCATTGAATGCAAATGAGCTGGTGTCTGCCCAAGTTTTGGAAAGTTAGATAGACTGTTAGGCTTTCTCCTGATGATAGGAAGGTGGCAGGTTCTCTAAAGCAGAGACTCCTAAACTCTGATCCTCCAGGTGTTTGGACTTCAACTCCCAGCAGCCTCCACTTTGGCCAATAGAGGTTAATGGGGAGCTAAAAGCCAAAATATGTGACAACCCTGCTCTAAAGCAAACACATGCTGCTTTTATGGAATGCTGCATAATGCTAAAGTCCTGGTCTTTACTTTTCCAAATGAGCACTTAAAGCAGTGTTTCACAATCTGTGGGTCCCCAGATGTTTTGGCCTTCAACTCCCAGAAATCCTAACAGCTGGTAAACTGGCTGGGATTTCTGGGAGTTGTAGTCCAAAACATCTGGGGACCACTGACTTAAAGAGTATAGGAGCCGTTTGGGCCTGGCTTTTCTCTCAGACCGGCCGGTGAGACATTGCTGAGGCCAACAACATAGAGGACTGTCGTATGTGAATGACATGCCTTCAGATCTGGCACTGAATTCCCCCCTTTCTGCTGAGTCTGGCTGGGTGTCAGCAATCTTTCAAGGGTCTCCTTTGGAGGGGAAGCTTGCAGAACCACTTCTCCTCTTTGTAAACATGGCTATCTTGATTTTGCCTTCAAACAAGCCAAGCCTGTTGCCACTTCCTTTCTCTCCCCAGTAGATTCCTCTACAAAAGGCATTTGAGTGCAGGGATAGGAACCCTGTAGCCCTCTAAACCTCGTGGCACTGCATCTCCCACTGACTGTCCTGGCTGGGGTTGATGGGAGTTGTGGTTCCGCATCTTTTGGAGGGCTACTCAGTTCCCACCCTGACTTCCTGAGTGCCACTGTTTGTTTTTATCTTGGGAGTAATGATTTTAGCTGCCCTCCTTTGGCAGCACTTCATAACCTGGCTGTCCTTCCCTTTCTCCTCTCAAAAGATGAACTGGAATTTAAAATGCCATTGTTGGGGTGGGATTTCACACCACCATCCACTGTCCCACAGATGTAGTTTCCTCATAGTGGTCAAAACTGAAATGGACTGCATGATCCTTCTCCCCTCTCAGAGGATTAGATTATATGTATTGTCGAAGGCTTTCATGGCCAGAATCACTGGGTTGTTGGTTTTTTTCGGGCTATATGGCCATGGTCTAGAGGCATTCTCTCCTGACGTTTCACCTGCATCTATGGCAAGCATCCTCAGAGGTAGTGAGGTCTGCTGGGACTAGGAAAATGGGTTTATATATCTGTGGAATGACCAGGGTAAGACAAAGGACTCTTGCCTGCTCACACCTAGCTCCAGCAGACAAGAGTCCTTTGTCTCACCCTGGTCATTCCACAGATATATAAACCCCTTTGTCTAGTTCCAACAGACCTCACTACCTCTGAGGATGCTTGCCATAGATGCAGGCGAAACGTCAGGGGAGAATGCCTCTAGAACATGGCCATATAGCCCAAAAAAACCTACAACAACCCAGATTACATTATACTCCGCTAATCTTTCTGAAAACCAAGCCTTCCGTGCAGTTGGTTGTCCATAGAAATCTCATGGAGCATCTTTGGCTGAGAAACTTGTGTATTTCGAAGGAGAAAATGCTGTGAAGGCAGGAGGAAAGCTGAGCAGGTATGGCGACTTCAGCATTGGCCAGGTGGAGGGACTGAGATGATTTAGTTAACAGTGCAATTCCTAGGTGCAGGTGTCCACAGAGCTTGCCAAGAAAGCCGTATTAGAGCGAAGGACACAATGCTCTGAAGGCAGGAGGAGGGAAGCTGAGCAGGTAGGGAGACTTCCCCATTGCCAGGGTGGAAGAGAGTGCTATGTGTTCTTGCTTGCTGTGTGAATGGGATAATGTGTGAGTGTGTGTTAGAGAGGATAGGAGCGGGGCGGATGGGGAGGGAGAACGGTTTGGGCCTCTTTTGGGGGACTGATGCCAGCCGGGCTCAGCACTGCCAGCGCCTTTGCGTTTCTGCCTCCGTCCTCCTCCTCTCGCCTCGGTTGCCCTGCCCCTGACTTCTAAGCCGGACTCTGTCCGATTCCCACTCGGTAGCTGAGCCTTACCAGTCTAGTTCCTTGCTAGACGCCTGAAGATTGTAGCATGCTTCTCCGTGCCAGGAACCCGAGAACTGGCAGACCACAAACCTCCTTACAGTATTCACTGTGGGTAATTTATTTAAAACTAGCGAATGTAGAGTTTAAAATAATTTAAAGAGAGAGAAAAAACGACAAAACTAATGGTTTGTTTGCAAGATTGTATGTCCTTTGTACTCGGCCTGGGTTTCATTCTTTGTGTTCCTGTCGGTTTCTTTCCTCTCCTTCCCCCTTTTTTCGTTGTTTTTGTCGAGGAGAGAAGGGGCTCTCGGTCAGGCCTTAGGGATCCAGCGGGAAGATCCTGCAGAAAGGAAATGGGTAGAAGGGAGGAAAGGGGCTTCACTCTCCAGCACTTTTACGTTGCAGGTCTGCGGCCGACGGCATTGCTACCCCAACGTCCCCCCTGGGTCGCCAAGGGGGGCATTGGGGGCAAAAGGAGTGGCAAAGGGGCCTCAGCGTGGACTGGCATGCCAGCTAGGCCGCTCCTTCGTGGCTTTCTGCCGCAACTCCTTCTCCGTTTAATTTAATTTAATTTTTTTTGTGAGCACTAAAACATTTACGTAAGCGGCTTTTTAAACAACAACAAGGAATGGTTTTATTGTCGTCGGGAATGATTTATTTTGTTCCTTTGTGGTCTGCGTTCGTTTGAAGTTTCTGTATGTAATGTAGTTTAAAAAAAACATTGCCAAACCACATATTGTCTCTTGTGTGTGTTGTGTGTATGTGTCTCAACAAAGTGTGGATTCTTCCCAAACGCCGACACAGAATTGCTCATTTGTGCATTTAATAATAATAATAACAACACTTTATTTGTACCCCGTTACCATCTCCCCAAGGGACTCGGTGCGGCTTACATGAGGCCGAGCCCAAACACAACAATACAAGCAATAATAACAAGAATACAAGCAATTAAAATAAAAATATAGACAATAAAATATACAACATTATCAATAAGACAACACACAATTAAAAACAGTGGAAAGGCCAAATGTAAAGTTAAAATTGGAAAATAATGCTGGGACATGGACGAGAAGGTGATAGTGGTGTTTGTGGGAGGGCATACGAGCAGACCTAAAAAATGTAAAGTGCTTTGGAGGACAAAGTGCTATGGGATCATTATTCCGGGAAGGCACACTGGAACAGCCACGTCTTCAAGCTCCTCCTGAAGACTGCCAAAGTTGGGGCCTGTCTGATGTCTTTAGAGAGTGAGTTCCAGAGTCGAGGGGCCACCACCGAGAAGGCCCTCTCTCTCATCCCCACCAATTGCGCCTGCGATGCTGGTGGGATTGAGAGCAGGGCCTCTCCGGATGATTGAAGGGATCGTGTGGGTTCGTATACAGAGATGCGGTCACACAGATAGGCGGGTCCCAAACCGTTCAGGGCTTTGTAGGTAAGACCCTGCACCTTGAATTGGGTCTGGTAGATGAATGGCAGCCAGTGGAGCTCCTTGAACAGGAGGGTTGACCGCTCCCTGTAAGGAGCCCCAGTTAACAACCTGACTGCCGCCCGTTGGATCATCTGAAATTTCCGGGCCGTTTTCAAGGGCAGCCCCATGTAGAGTGCATTGCAGTAATCCAGTCTAGAGGTGACTAAGGCGTGGACCACTTTGGCCAGATCTGCCTTCCCGAGGTATGGCCGCAGTTGACTCACGAGTCTTAATTATGCAAAGGTCCTCTCAGCCACCACCGACACCTGAGCCTCAAGCGTAAGTGATGAATCCAAGAGGACTCCCAGACTGCGGACCTGTGACTTCAGGGGGAGTGTAAGCCTGTCCAACACAGGTTGCCACCCTATACCCCGGTCTGGTTTACGATCGACCAGGAGGACCTCTGTCTTGTTGGGATTAATCTTCAGCTTGTTTGTCCTCATCCAGACAGCCACAGCGGTCAGGCACTCGTTTAGCACTCGAAGGGCTTCCTTGGAGTTAGGTGGAAAAGCGTAGTAGAGTTGTGTGTCATCTGTATAGAGATGGCACCCAACTCCAAAACTCCGGATGACCTCTCCCAGCGGTTTCATGTAGATGTTAAAAAGCATGGGAGACAAAATGGAACCTTGCGGGACCCCACAGGTCAAAGGCCAGGGGTCCAAACAGGTATCTCCCAGCTTGACCATCTGGGACCGACCCTCCAGGAAGGACCGGAGCCACGACAGAGCCGTACCTCGAAGGCCCATCCCGGAGAGGCGTCCCAGAAGGCAGAGATGGGGTGTCTTCTTTTCCTCAGTCTTCCTTCCTTGGTGTTTCCCCAAAAGGTCAACAGTGCTCAACTTGGAGAGGATGGAGAAGAGGGTGCAGATGGGGAAATGCAGCACAAAATAGATTAAAAATGCAGTACA